GGGGGGACGCCCCGGGGCGGGCAGGCCGCTGACGCTCCGGCCCGGGCGGGGTGGGATCGGTGATGAAGGGACCCGCAGACCCGAGGCGGAGCCCTGTGTGAGTCCGGCTGGGGGGTGGGTGGGGAGGGGCTGGGGTGTCTCCTTGGGGTGTGTCCAGCCAGCATCCGCGGCGTGCGCCCAGGTGCGTGCGCCCAGGTGCCCGGGGGAGTGCCTGCAGTCCCGGAGTGCGGCTCTGCGGGTCCCCCCCAAGCCCTTCAACATAGCCACGCCCTGTCCGGGTTTTCTTGAAAACCCACACCTACTCTTCTTTTCCAAATGCAGTTTCCTTACCAATAAAGACATTTATAAGACGGTAAGCGGAGGGGTTTGGAGGCGGGGAGGCAAGCACACACGAAGGAGTTCTGACAATAAAAGCCGATCGGTCATGGGATTTAAATAGACCCATGGGGGCTCCAGTGGGGAGTGTGAAGAGCGAATGACTGTTCAGGGTCCCCCCCCCAAAAAAGGAACAATATTGGGGCGGGGGAGAAGCTGGGAAGGGGTGGATTGGGCCTGTGAGAACGCAGGATTCCGGTGTGTTGGCTCCTCTCCAAGGATGACAGTCTTTCCTAGCCTGGAAGGAGATCTCTGCGCTGTTCTCCACAGTGCTGGACGCAGTCTTTCTCTCTTCTCATCTTCCTGCATTCCAAAAGATCAACATTAGAAATTTAGGGAGACCTCTGATGTGGAGACACAGCTGGGTGGGGGTGGGGGGTGGGGGGGTGTAATTGCATTTTCATCTAGGCAATGGGAGGTCCTTGTTGCCTTCACTGCGCGCTGTAATTGTTAGCTACTCATATCTTCACCACCCAAAAGCCAGAAGTGGAGCTGTGGCTCAAGTGGTACAGCACTAGCCCAGCACTAGCCTTGAGCACAACTCAAGGAGGGCACATAGCCCCCACCCCCTGACCCCGAGTTCAAGCCCCAGGACTAGCACACACACACACACACACACACACACACACACACACACACTTTCAACACTTTCAGGCTAGTGCCATTGGCTCAATTTGTAATCCTAGCTACTCAGGAGGCTGAGATGTTAGCTGGAGCAGACAAACCTGAGAGACCATCTCCAATTAACTGCAAAATGGAACTGACTCAAATAGTTGCGTACTGGTCTTGTGTGAAAAAGCCAAGCAAGAGTGCTAACCCCTGAGTTCAAGCCTCAAACAAACACACAAAAAACAAGCAAACAGACAACAAACCAACAAACCCAGATTTACAGGAAATACAAAACTTGTTTGAAATGGCTCTTCTGTTCTAAGATTGGTTGGGAATCTCAGAGAAAGTGCCTCGCTGCTCCTCTGTGCTCATAGGTGCTATACTCCTTTAACTGTTCTAACCAGACTCCAACTGTGGGACAGAAATAAATAAAAGTAGGATCCTACATAGGGTAGGATCCCACGGAGATGTCACTGGGCTCAAGCCCCACAGAGACTTCAAGAACAAGCACAGACTCTATTGACTGAGCATTAGAAGGTGGGCTAAGGACAGGTGCTGGCACATCTTTAAAATAAAATAGAATTTATGCTGCGTACAAGTGGCTATTGCCTGAAACACTACCTGTTCTGGAGGCTGAGGTCTGAGGATTGCAGTTCAAAGCCAGCCTGGTGAGCAAGTCAGTGAAACTCTCCCCAAATGAACCAGTAAAAATCTGGAAATGGATCTGTGGCTCAAGTGATAGAGTACTAACCTTGAGTGAAAAGGCTAAGGAGAATACCCAGTCTCTCTCTGTCTCTGTCTCTGTCTCTCTCTCACACACACACAATTAGGATTTATAATAGCTCCCCTTGGCAATGATGGCTGCTCATTTGTGTTGACATCAAGTGTGGGGAAGTGTTAGCACTAACATGTACAGGAATTCCTACTGTCAGTTTCCCTGGCATCTCTTAGGTTTTGCAGAGTTCTGCTTCTGCACAATTACTGGGTCCTGCCCGCACAGATCCTTGCTGCTGCCAGGGGCCGATTGTGCTTGTGGTTGCCCTTGTGGCAGCCCTGATGTCTTTGGGTGGTCTGGAGCATTGACTTCTACAGCTAGTCCCCTGGGCATCCCACTCTGCTTTGAGGAGAGCAGCCCTTGCGCACATGTGATGCAAGTACCTGGAGCAATTCTCGCAGAAAAGGCGTACATTTCCCTCATTTTCCCCATAGACAACGATTCCACTGGGTTTGGTCTCATGGACCATCACCCATGCTATTCTGAGCAGTGGACCTGGAGTTCCATTAGTTTGAATGTTCTCTTTTTGACTGGAAATCGAGGAGGACTGGCTGCAACCTGGGGATGGCTCTTCAGCCCACATACTCCAGTAGCAGCTTCTATCTTTTTTTTTTTTTTGCCAGTCCTGAAGCTTGAACTCAGGGCCTGGGCACTGTCCCTGAGCTTCTTTGGTCAAGGCTAGCACTCTACCACTTGATCCACAGCTCCTTCCAGCTTTTTCTGTGTATGTGGCACTGAGGAAACGAACTGAGGGCTTCATGCATGCGAGGCAAGCACTCTACCACTAAGTCATGTTCCCAGCCCAAGCCCTCTGTTTCAAGGAATGCTTCATTGTGCTCTTTCTTGACAAATACAACATATCTAGTACATGGCCATTTAAGTCATTTCATACCTTTAATGTATTTGAAGCTGTCCTAAAAATGAAAAGGAGGGAGAAATGGTATAAAAATTGTGCTATTTGCTGTCATCTAGGAAATGTGCTTGAGTTATAGACACCAAACTAGCAAGGAAACAATAGTGAACATTGCAATAGTGAACATAGCAGTAAATACTATGGGATCTAAATGCCTTCAAGATTGAAAGGAAAAGGACTTCTTGCAGAGAAATGTTATGGTTTGAATGTCTTTACTTCTGGTGAGTTATTAGGAGATGAGATCAAGGCTGGTGATGTGGCTCAGTGGTAGAGTACTTACAAGTATTTCTGAAGTCCTGGATTCAATTCCTAGGGGTGGGAAGGAGGAAGAGGAAGAAAGAAGGAGAAGAAGGTGGCCAGGTATGACATTTCAGTGGTGGTTAGATTGCACCATGGACTGATGAATATGTAGTTCTGGATAGTGGGTCTGTCAGGTGAAACAGTTAGTCCCCACCTCCTCTTTCGTGCTGGTACCAGGGCTTGAACTCAAGGACGTGTGTGTGTGTGTGTGTGTGTATGTGTGCTAGTCCTGGGCCCCGAGTTCAAGTGATGGAGAGTGCTACCACTTGAGCCACAGGTTAACTTTCAGCTTTTTGGTGGTTAATTAAAGAGTCTCATGGACTTTCTAGCCCAGCCTCTTGGGTAGTTAGGATTACAAGTGGCACCCAGCGTGAACTCAGGAACTCTTGATCTTGCTTGTAATTTTTATTCAAGATCTGTGCTCTGGCACTTTAGCCACATTTCCACTTCTGGATTTTTGCTGATTAACGAGATAAGAGTCCCTCAGATTTGTCTGTCTGGGCTGGCTTCAAACCTTGATCCTGATCCTCAGATCTCAGCCTCCTGAGTTGTTAAGATTACAGGTATGTGCTACTGAAGCTGGCTTGTTTGTCTCTTGCATGTGACCCTCTTATCATGTGATATTCTCCATCACTTTGGGACTCTGCAGAGAGTCCAAGACCTTTACCAGATACCACTAACACTTCCTATTGTCCAGAATCATTAGCATACATAAACCGCTATTTTAATTTTTTTTGATAGACTAGGGTTTGAACTCAGGGTCTTGCACTTGCTAGGCAGATGCTTTAATCTTGGGCCTCACCTCCAGCTCTTGTTTATACTGGTTATTTACAGTACACGGAAGCAGGAAGATAGAGTTTTGATTCTTGCCTTGATCTGCACCTGGTCCATAATCTTTCTGCCATAACTGGGAAGGCAGGCATACGTTACCATGTCTAGCTTCTTCCAATGAGATGGGATCTCCTGGCAGATCTCGGTTAGGATTACAGGTGTGAGCCACCAATGCCTGGCAGATCTATGTTCTTTATAACTCACATCTAGTTTCAAGTATTCTATTACAGAAACAGAAAACAATCCAAAGCAAGAAGAAAGTATGATAT